TCGCTACAATATTCGAAAAACATTTTAAAACAAAGCGGATGTGTCCATCACGTTTTGTTGCGAACAAAAAAAAATGTATTTCAAGATTCCTTCATACTCTTGTGTATACATATACTAAGTGACATATAAATCCGAACACCCAGTTTAAATGGTTTTATTTTAATAAAATTTTGTATAAGTACTTAATGAAGCATAATAAGTAAATAATAAAAATTTCAAAATGATTGCACTGCTTTAAAGCCCTTTGACCTTTAATAATGTGTGGATGTACCCTGATGTGCTACGCATTCTCCAACGCGCCTAGGCATGCTTCTGATCAGGTGGTCAATGTCCTCCTGTGGTATCTCATTCCAGGCAACCACCAACTCCTCTCGTAGTGCTTCTAGAGTCTGAGGAGGACGTTGCAAATTGAGCAATCTCCTACCCATCATATCCCACACGTGCTCAATTGGGAATAAGTCGGGAGATCTTGGTGGCCATGATAACAATGTGACATCATTATGTTGATTATGTTGAAAGAAGTCTATTGTGACTCTTGCAACATGTGGTCAAGCATTATCTGGTTGGAAAGTTGGATCTGCCAGGGTGTCAAGATAGGGTAAAAGATGGGGTTCTAGAACTTCGTGGATATAACGCTGCGCGTTCATGTTACCTCTGTTGAAGATTAAAGGTGACCTGGAACCATAAGCTATAGCACCCCAAACCATAACTCCAACAGTGTGATGAACATGTCTTTCAACAAAAAACTGTGGATTCCTCCTTTCACCACGTCGCCTTCTAACCCTGGCACGACCATCGTGCATGCCTAAACAAAATCGAGACTCGTCACTAAAGACAATACTGTTCCATCCCTGATCCCAGAGTGACGTTGTCTGCACCACTCAAGGCGATTACGTCGGTGTTCTCGGGTTAAAGGGAGGACCCAGTGTGGCCGGTATGAAAACAAGCCAAAACTTCTCATTTGTCGGTAAACACTTCGCATGCCAATAGGTCTTCCGTGTTCTGCAAACCATTCATTTGCAATGGACCTGGTAGTGGAGAAACGGTCCCTTAAGGCCAATAATCTTAGGCGGCGATCTTCACAGTCTGTTGTTCTACGGCGGCGTCCAGTGCCCCTTGCTCTTTGCGTACGGCCTTCTCGAATTCATGCCTGACAACACCTAACCACAGTGTCTACACTTCTTTGCACTCTAACTGCAGTTGCCCGAAAAGAAAGTCCAGCTTCCCGAAGTCCCACTATACGGCCACTATCAAACTCACTAAGTTGACGAAATTGTACAGGTACAGTCAAAATCCGCCAACGTTGATTCTTTACTGCGCCTGAAATATTCATTTTTAGAGCGTTAGTGAATTAAAAAAAAGCAGTATAAAAACCGGAATGTCCAACTGATAAGGCTGAAAATTTTTTTACTCGTTATTTACAGTAAGATAAATACATTCACCAACTTTTATTAAAATAAAACCATTTAAACTAGGTGTTCGGATTTATATGTCACTTAGTATATTTAAAGCTAAAATTTTTACACGGCCATAGATGAGCCTTAAAGCTTATAAAAAATATATTTCACTCTGAAATGCGCTGTTTATAAAGTTAGCACGCAAACTGAAGGCACAACTGTCTTACAGACTAGTTAGTATTTAGCATGTGCTAAATGGCTGCATTATTGATGACCGCATGACTTTGTCAAATAAGTAGGTCACGTAATCCAGTTTCTTTACAATGTAATTTCCTGGGCCTTTTTTCTAAAAATATTAATATAGTATACCTCTGTTTTCGAAATCCCGTACGATTAAAATGACTGCGAGTTCAAAATGTCAACAGTTGTAGCGAACTGACCGTGCAAAATACTCGGTATTAGTCCCTAATACATTATTAAAAGTTTCAGCATTGTATCTTGTATAGTTTTCAAAACCATTCTAATTGCTTATAACAGATTTTATAATCCTTTAACGATCGCTTGACATTTGTCAGTGTCAAGCATAGTGGTACAGGGTGCGGCAGAGAGGTTGGAAGGTTTTAAAAAAATCATAAAATAGTTAATTTATACTCGAAAACAAATTTATTGATCGAATCAGGTTCACAAGGAAATAGCATTTGAGACAGTCAAGTGTGGAAAATCACATCAGGCATGCGGTGGCCGAAATCGTTGATGCAGTGCTGGAGGCGTTCTTGGAAGTTCGCGTAGACTCTCTCCAACATCGCTCTCTCAACTTGGGCGGCTTCCACGCGAATTTCGTCCTCCAATTCGTCGAGAGTTCGGGACTCGTTCGCGTATACTCTAGCCTTGAGGTGTCCCCTTAACAAAAAATCGCATATGGTTAAATCTGGGGACCGAGGAGGCCAATGAACATCGCCAAACCTGGAAATAAGGCGACCAGGGAAGAGAGGGCGACTAACGTCCATGGATGCTCGGGCTGTGTGGGCGGTAGCCCCATCCTGCTGGAACCACACACGTCGGATTGGGACACGTCGCCGTCGTAATTGAGGGAGAAAGAAGTTGGTGATCATGTCGACGTAGCGCTCCATCCATACCACGTACAGCGTGTTCAAGCTCTTCTGCCCCGGGATTATGAGCCTCGAGTTGCTTTTTGTCGCACAGGGAAGATCCACGGTTCTTTGAAAAAAATTTATGGTCAGATGAGACCACATTTAAGAAAGATGGGTACATGAACCTGCATAACTTACACGAGTGGCACGTAGCAAACCCACATTTGATGAGAGAAGATAAATCTCAATATCGCTTCAAGATAAACCATTGGACAGGAATTTTAAATGGTAAAATAATCGGTCCGTTTGAGTTTCCAGAGACTTTGACTGCTGAGGTTTATTTAGGTTTTTTGCAAAATCATTTAGAAAATTTATTGGTGGACGTGCCACTGAGTATTTACAGGGACATGTGGTTTCAGCATGATGCCTGCCCAGCGCACTATGCACTCTCAGGGAGAGAGTATCTCGATCAAAACTTTCCAGGCAGATGGATAAGGCGGTCTGGTACAATACTGTGGCCAGCCCGTTCACCAGATTTGAATCCGTTAGCTTTTTTTTACTGGGGAACTGTAAAGGAAAAAGTGTATTTCAAGCCGATTCAAAATGTAGCTGAGCTACGGCAAAGACTATTGGAAGCAGCTGAGTTTGTTAATAACCGTGGATTCGTTCGTTTAATAACCCGATCTTTTTTAAGAAGACGTCGAGCGTGTATTGCGGCTGAAGGAAAACAGTTTGAGCATTTGCTGTAAAGGTAAATCATCATCAGCAGCATTTTGACGCCCACTGTTGTGCAAACAGTTATCCTTAAGGGTCTTTGTGCGTTTTGATAATCGCTGTTTAATTAGGAAATTTTGAAAAATTTTCATCAGTTTTTTTTCAAATAAAAATTGTGCATAAGTTAACGAGTAATCTTCTAAGTGTTATACCATTTTGGAATCCTTATTAAATGCGCCAACTCTTAAGGTTACTTGCCAAACTCTCGTAGTACATTTTTTTCCAGTACAGCCAGTTAAAGTTGAGCAAAGTTTTACTTTGGAATACTTGGTTGGGAAATAAGTGGCAATTTTTCCTGAACGAGAAAAGTTGGCAGTAAGGTTAAGACACCAGTTTGTAGATGCATTATTCATAATTACATTGTAAAAGTAAAATCCAAAAAAAGTTAATATTTGTAGTAACAGGAGTTGACAGACTGCCGTAGGGTGTGAAATTTCTATATTTTTTTCAAAGACCTATAATTTTCAAAACACATACGTAAAATTTTTTTAAATATTTTTCTGATAGCTGTATATGAGGAGTGAGTATCTTAGGTTTTTTTCTGAGATTGATCTTCGTATCGATTAATATTCTTGTACTATCTGTTCCTCAATTATGTATATAAATATGGTTATAGCTCTATGTTACATGATAACACAAAATGTTGCGATAACCGTACATTTCGTTATCCAAAGATAAGTTGGGAATGGACCAACTGCGTCTAGCTAGACAAATCGGGATAAACCAGTATGTCCGTACCTTTTAAACAAAATATCGTGCTTCCACAAACAAATATTTTTGAAAGTAGTGTTGTTTCTCATAATAAAATGTGGTCAAATTGTTGCAAGGGAAAATGAATTATGTAACTGCTGCGAGTAGTAATATAATAAGTAAGTAGCGAAATATTCGTAGGGTATATGAAAAATTTTAATCCGAGAGCTGTTTTAACATAGGTTATCAAAGACACCACACAAGCTTCTCTAAATTATTGCCGTTCGCAGGTCTTTTTTATACTGAAGCAGCAGCCGCGTAGATAGAAGCCCAAATACCGGGGCGCCGCGGCTGCTATAAGGAGATTGAATGCACTTTGAATACCATCTTTGACCTTTCGAAAGCATTCGATATAATGGATATTTCGTTTATCGTGGAAAAATTGTACTGCTTAGGTATAAGGGATTTTATTCTCAGCAGTCTTTCCTCACAGATAGAAAATTGCAAAAGAAGGTCAATGGTCATACGTCAACTCAATATTCCGTGAATATAGGTGCGGCACAAGGCTCAGTACTTGCACCACTGCTCTTTATTGTATACATAAATGACTTGAAATTGTCTGGCTTCATGATTAATTATGCGGATGACACATCTATCATCGTCAGTGCCACGACACCGCAGGATCTTCTCGAATCTATTGAGAAAGTCAAAAGTGAAATGAGCAAGTGGTGCCAGTCTAACCGCCTCATTTTGAATGAAGATAAGACTGTTGAAATTCATTTCTTCAACAAGAAGCCACGCATGGATATTGATAGCTTTTCAGATCAAACTGTCTTCTTAGGAACTCATGTTGATAGTAAGTTAAGCTGGCAACCACAAATAAATCACATTTGCAACAAAATTAACAGTGCTTATTTTGCAATATTGAAATTAAAGCCTAACATCCATCTAAACTCACTCTTAGATATGTACTACGCGCTAGTTTATTCTCACCTCACTAACAATATAATCATATGGGGACAGGCAACAATGATTAACAGATTATTTATCCTGCAGAAAAGAGTAGGGGAGAAGTGGCATGAAAGAGCTAGGTTTTGAAAGAGCCACTTGCATTATTTCGGTGGTTAAGCAACGAATTTGGTGGGTGATCTTATTTTAAGGTGGCAGCACTGATTTCCCGCCACCCACAAACATTTGACAGTTGGCTAGTGATAACAGGCGGCGGTACATCGAGTCAAAATTTTTGGCATCCAAAAGTAAGTATTTTGCTCTATCTAAGCAGTTTTTTGGCATTTTGTTGTAAACAAATATAAGTATGTGGATTGTAGATTCAGTTTGTGCATATAATTGGTCTTGCAACTGCGTAAACACTAAGCGGCAAAAGGTTTTATATTGCTGTTATTTTGAAGGTTATATATTTTTTACCAATAAGTTATGAAAGAGCCAGGTGCATAGGCCTTAAAAGAGCTGGCTCTTTCATAACCGGCTCTTTTATAACCCTATATTTAAGTTTTAGTAATAAATTATTATAATAATAAATATGCATTTTTATATATTATTAAATTATTTGCTTCAGATACTGCATTATGGAGAAGGCTGGCTCAAAAAAACGAAAAAGACCCGAAAAATCGGTAATTGAAGAAGCAGTCAGTGAAGTTTTGGAGAAAGGTCAGTCCATAAACAGAACTGCACTTGCCTTAAACATATCGAGGGCTTACTTAGCTAAAATCGTTAAAAAAGTAAAGACGTCTGGCGATTCATCATATGAACACTGTCCCAATATAGGCGTATTTTCACAACAGAACAGGAGAATATGCTTGCAGATTATTTAAAGACCGCATCTAAAATGTGCCATGGCCTAACAAGACATCAAGCAAAGAAGCTAGGATTTGATTATGCCGTAGCCAATGATATCTGTCCACCCAAATGGAAGTTGAAACTGCGACTGATGATTGGCTCAAAGGGTTTATGAGCAGACACAAAGACTTAACTGTGAGAAAACCTGAAAGCACTTCTCTATCCCGTGCAACATGTTTTAATATAGCTAATGTAAGCACATTTTTTGAGAAATTAAACACTGTTTTACAAAGATACAAATTTCCTCCTCATAGGATTTTTAACGCCGATGAAACAGGCTGCAGCACCGTCACCAATCCTCCTAAGGTCATAGCTGAAAGGGGTCCGAAACAAATTGGGCAAGTTACCTCAGCCGAACGAGGAACATTGGTGACAACTCTGTTCTTTATTAATACTGCTGGTGGTTTTTTGCCGCCCGTTTTTGTGTTTCCTAGAGTAAACTATAAAGATATTATGTTAAATAATGGTCCGCCAGGAGCCCTAGGATTGGCTCAAGTTTCTGGATGGATGACTGAAGACTGTTTTGTGAAAGCGCTTGAACACTTTGTAATACATGTCAGGCCATCAAAAGAGAATCCAGCATTGATATTAATGGATAATCACACCTCTCACGTAAATCTCAGAGTGGTTGAATTTGCCAGACAAAACTCCATCATAATAGTTACATTCCCACAACACTGCAGTCATAAACTGCAACCACTAGATATCACAGTATATGGGCCTTTCAAAACTAGGTACCGCACTGCCATGAATGAATGGATGTTGACGAACCCTGGAAAAACAGTTACTATTTATCAAATTGGGCAATTTGTAAAAGAAGCATATTTGCCAGCTTTCAGTCCACAGAATATAACACAAGGATTTTTGAAAACAGGAATTTATCCATTAAATTCTAATATATTTAGTGAAGAAGCATTTTTATCTTCATATGTGACTGATAGACTTGATCCGCAGTCAAACGATGGTTTGAACTTGTATAAGGAAAGTATGGAAATAAACTTAAAACAACTTCTCCATCTTCTACAAAATCGCTTGAAGCTGGCGAAGAAAATGAGCTTCTAATAGATCAGAATATCAGACTCTCTCACCGTTCAACCTCCACCCCCACGGCTGCAAATCCGAGTCAACGAATTATATCACCGGAGATGATAAGACCATTTTCTAAAGCGGGGCCAAGACAAAACACGAAACGAAATAATAGAAAAATGTCATCTGCTATCGTAACCGACTCTCCCGAAAGGAAAAAAATAGAGGAGAAAGAGTATAGTGCAAAAGTTACTGTTAAGAAAATGACTACAAAAGACTCCATAAAAACGCGTAAAACAAAATCAGAAATAAATAAAGAAAATTCCGTTCTGCAAGATGACTCTGATTCGTCTGACTCTATCGTATTGGCTGAATTAAAAACAAAGGGTGTTCGAAGCAAAATAAACCCAAAGACAAATAACAATAGTGATGATTGTGTAGTTTGCAGCAAAACATATAAAGACAGTGATCAAGATTGGTTTCAGTGCAAAATTTGTCCTGGTTGGGCTCATGAATGCTGTGGTATTAAGGGGAACCTTAATTTCTTTTGCAAAACATGTTTCTAATTTGAAGAATACGCATTACATTCTGTTCTGATAGATTTAACGATTTTGTTTTTGATAAAAGATATTATTTGTTGTTTTATTTAATTTCAACACTGTTATTGATAAAAAATAATCCGCCTCTAATATCTTAAGTTTATATTTATTATAAAATATCATTAGTTTTCAAAAAGAATTTGTTAGAATTGTCTTTTCATTTGATTTTTAATAGTGTTATACTTATTAGTTTGTATAATTTTCACAATTTCAAGTTCTAATACAAGCTGGCCCTTTCATTACTTTTAGTGGCTCTTTCAATACCGAAATGTTATGAAAGAGCCAAATGACACATTTTTAAAAAACGTGTATTTCATTGGTTTTATATACCGTATTTTAGATTTTTTGTATGAAATATATACTTTAATAAATAAATAGTAGTTTGACTAAAAAAATAATCATTTCATTCATTAAAAGTATATTTTTTGGCTACGTCTATAAAACTGGCTCTTTCATGCCACTACTCCCCTACTTCGATTAATTTTTAATATTAATAAGAGGGACTCTTGTAAAGAAATATTTAGACGCTATAATCTGCTTACATTAACTTCCATCTATATCTACAAATGTGCCATCTTCGCATTTGAACATAGCAATAGATTTGTTCGTAACAACGCCATTAATAGTCAATACAACACTAGAATAGGGCATGATCTGAGTATACCGACACATAACTCTGCCCTATTCCAAAAATCTCCCACTCTAGCGTGCACTAAGGTATACAATAATCTGCCGAGTGAGTTGCGGAGAAGCACTAATATCCTTGCGCTGAAAAAACATCTCAGGAAATATCTGGTTGAAAAATGCTATTACTCTCTACATGAGTTTTACTAACACATAAAAGTATCTGTTTTTTAAATTCTTTTAAGCTGTTAATCATTTCGTTATCAGTGAATTGTCTATTATCGTGGAGTAAATGTATTTTAATTTCACTTTTTATTCGAGTTTTAACGAAAGTATGTATGTTTTCTTTTTAAGCTTTTAACCATTTGTCCTCACTGCTCGATGTTTATTGTATTTATATATTATGTATTTCTAACAGATTCTCCTACCGCTTTTCTTTTCTTTGTATCAGCTTCAATGATTTTTACCGGCTAGACGAACATTTTTTGTGATAAAAAAAGTCGCTGTATATGTATATATTTTTACCGTTACAGATTGAACACATTACGATTCTTGCACTGTACCTGTACCTATAATGTGATTTAACCTTTTAAAATGTTTTGTAATTGTAATGTCCTTATTTATTTTATAATTATAAGTATTTTTCTGGCATATTTGCTCAAACGCATATATGACCCTCAAATTGATATTGACAAGTCTTATATCATGTAACATGATCTAATAGGACAACAAACTATCTATCTATCTATCTTGGCGACAAAGGAGTTACCGATAAGTCGAACAGCCCTCCTCTGAGCAGCATTGAGTATAGATAGTGTACTCCGGACGGCAGTACTCCAAACATGTGAGCAGTATTCGAGGCTCTTTGAGATAGAATTTACGTATCCATTGACACTATTGTGCTTGTTGTTCTAGATCTAAGTGATGCGTTACAGCATTTACGTCAATGACATTGTTAAAGGTCTGTCCCAAAGTAAACAAATAAGATTTTTAGGTATTTACGAGACCTACAGAATGAGACCACACGTAAAATGATCTCACTAGTAGTAAAAGAGGTAAGGCCGAAAACCGAGGCAAAATGCAGGTTTTGGCACTTGTTGCTAATGCGACGATAATATCACGCAGCTACTTGAAATTCATCATATCTGAAGACTTCTTACTCCTAAATAACAACAACAAAATTAGAGTATATTGGTAAAGGAGTTTTTTGAGCAGATCTTCAAAAGAATACACTATCCACAAACAGATTTGGTTCATTACATCGAAAGTAAAAATTAAAGAAAAAGGCATACTTTCCAAACCCAAGTGCACCAAAATATTATTAATCTGAACTAAAGACGGAATAAAAAAGAAATGAGTGATTACGTAAATTACATGTTTGGAGGGTTGAGTAATAATGTTTTAACTTTTTGTCGAAAGACAGGTAATGAAAATTCTTTATATACCTTTAGGAAGGTCATTATAAATAATAGCAACATTGTAAGAAAAAATGCGTTTAAAAAGTGTAGACGTATGCAGGGGTATTCTACTATTATTTTCTCTGAGAGTTCTACAGAGAACATCATATTAAATAAAATTTTTTCCCTCAAGTAATAAGGTTTAGAGGTAAGCAGCAATTTGTGAACAAAAACTGAATAGTGATACTTGACCATGCCATTAATTTTTAGCTAGTTTAGAACGGGATATTTCGCTGATACATGATCAAATTTACGTAAGCCAAAGATGAAACGTATACAATTGTTTTGAATAACTTGAATAACGTTTTTAGTGAAATTGTCTAAACAAGTATAGTATACGATATTACAATAATTTAGTATAGATATGACCAATGCTTCACATAGTTTTTTATGCAACTTAAAATTTAGTAAATACCTGTTTGCTATAAGAGTGCGCAGCCGTAGGTAGGTTTTCTGGGAAAAACTTTTAACATCTTCAATAAACCTTAATTTTGTATAAAAAACAACAGCAAGAATTTTTGCAGGATCAGAAAATTGCAAGATTTGGTTATTTATCTGCATGTGCAAGGGCTGTGTTACATTGTATGTTTTTCTTTGTGCGCAAAATAATAACATTTTAGATTTTTGTGGATTAATAAGTAGATTGTGATCTAAAGAGTGCTTAATTAATTTACTAACATCGTTTAGTAAAATTTGAGTAGCATTATTGACATTATCTGTGTTAAAATAATGGAGCAATTGCGTATCGTCTGCAAATGACTGGACATGAGAATTATCAATACTTTTGCTTAAGTCGAACGTATACAGGGTGTTTCAGTTTATTGTTGCATAACTTTAAGATTCGATAGAACTTTTAAAATTAATGCATAAAGTCTATATAAACATGGGTCGAAAAATGCGTGGCTTCCGAAATACAGGGTGTTTAAATTTACTTTCTAAAATAGTTTTTTTTAATATTTCGAACAATATTTGATAAATAACAGTGAAAATTGGTATACAAGGATTTTTTGGTACGACAAAACGAAAATAGTTTTACTGTATCCGCTAGAGGGCGCTCTCTACTGTACCTGTAGTGTATTAGAATGACCGAAAAATTTTTCTTAGTGCAATTTTTTGCTTTTTGAATAAAAAAACTGATTCTTCGCACTTTTCAACATAAAAAAGCTCTCTTGTGAATTTTCGTTATAGTTAGTCGTTTTTGAGATATTTCGATTTTTAAGGTTCGATGCATTTTTAATTATTTATGATAAAATAACGTTAAAAGGTCAGTAACTCGATAATTTTTAGAAGTAGGCTGTGCCTGCAAATATTTTTGAAATTGAAAGCAGAATAAGGTTTTGTTTAGGCATGCACGATGGTCGTGCCAGGGTTAGAAGGCGACGTGGTGAAAGGAGGAATCCACAGTTTTTTGTTGAAAGACATGTTCATCACAACTATTGGAGTTATGGTTATATCCACGAAGTTCTAGAACCCTATCTTTTACCCTATCTTGACACCGTGGCAGATCCAACTTTCCAACAAGATAATGCCCGACCACATGTCGCAAGAGTCACAATAGACTGCTTTCAACATAATGATGTCACATTGTTACCATGGCCACCAAGATCTCCCGACTTATCCCCAATTGAGCACGTGTGGGATATGATGGGTGGGAGATTGCTCAATTTGCAACGTCCTCCTCAGACTCTAGAAGCACTTCGAGAGGAGTTGGTGGTTGCCTGGAATGAGATACCACAGGAGGACATTGACCACCTGATCAGAAGCATGCCTAGGCGCGTTGGAGAATGCGTAGCACATCAGGGTGCATCCACACATTATTAAACGTCAAAGGGCTTTAAAGCAGTGCAATCATTTTTAAATTTTTATCATTTACTTATTATGCTTCATTAAGTACTTATACAAAATTTTATTAAAATAAAACCATTTAAACTGGGTGTTCGGATTTATATGTCACTTAGTATATATCGACACTTTTCGCAATACTTTCTTGCCATGTGAAGTAAAACATTTACAAATCCGGGTAGTTTATTTTCTAAGGAAAGCGTGTGCGTAGATTTTGAATCCGAGTTACATTAGTTAGTTAGTTCTGATACGGAATATTTTTTTGCTTAGGAATTATAGTGAGACTTGTGTTCAGTCGTCTCTGCATTGTAAAAGAATATGTATTAAGTTACTATAAAATCTCATGTTTGATGAACCATTTTCACGAGAAACTCGAAATCTGAATTTATATTTGTTCAGAAGATTTCAAACATTGCTTGCGTCAACAAAGTTTATTTCACGCTTTGTTACCTCCTAAAATAGTATTACACATTATGCAACAATTACATCCAAATGCCTATCCTCACAGATAACATTGTCATGATAACAATTTTCGCGCTTTTTGTAGTATCTCAACTGTTTGAAAATGAAATTATCACTATTAAGACCGCTGGGTAATAATTAAAAGTCAAAACTGATCCATTCTAGTTTCTGTTGGTTCTTTCGAGCCGATTCAGCTGAAATCGCCGATAAAATATTACTTATCCTCGTATTGAATAATCTTTTGGTGGCAGTATTAACAAGAACTGTTGTGAAAAGTTGTGTGTAGTGTGATATTTTCGACGAAAGAGGTGAGGTCTTACTTAGATACGTGATCTATACCCAAACTTTGAAACGAGAAACGTAAAACTGATTAATACTTGGATATTGTCATAGGTCGGGTTTGTAGAAATAAGGGGTCCCAAAATTAACGCAAGTTTTGAAAAATAAATACAGTTTCAAGTCTTTAGACTGTAATTTTTCTATTGAACCATATGGTAGCTAGCATATGTTAGGGTTGTGTATGGAATATCACTTCGAGTAAATGGCCTCCACGCACCCTATTATTCAACTGCTTACTTGGCACTAATCAGTTGCATTCGTAAACCACATTAAGATTCTGAAATTTAAAATTTATATCGTAAGTACTGTAGATAGAATGTTAAGACCAACACCCGTTTTTAATTGAAGATCATTATCAATGTCGTTGGGTTCAAACTTTGTCGAAAATCAGTGAAAATCCTCTGATCAACTATGGCTAGTTGGTATCAACCCATTATGTACTTCCTAGACTTTGAAAGTTTCATACTGTATGTATAGGAGCCCCTTCCCACTTCTGTTGGCCCAACTATTGAAATCTTAGTTTTTTCTTATCAAACACAAATAATAAAAACGTAGCAGGGTGTTATAGGTTTAAAATATTAACAATGAATATTTTGATAATATATAGTAGAAAACACCAACTTTATCACTACCTAATCAAATTTGCAGCATAAAAATAACACATGTTGCAATTACAGCATATCAACCTATTTTCATTTCAATGCAAAGTAAGTCTATAACGCATAGGTGGCTGTGAAAAATAAAAGCCATGACAATTGTTTTTATTAATCACAGCTCAGAATACTTTTAAAATAGTTTTAGGTAGTTAAGGTTAAGAAAATGGGTAGAAGAAAGGTTATTAGTGAGAAAATTCGGTTACTGATAATTAAATTTTTTAATTCTGTTAAATCAAACTCAGAAATTGCAACTTTGTTAGACTCATCGCGGTACAGTGTGAGAAATATTGTTAGAAGATATAACGTAACTGGTTCAGTTAATATTCAGCCACGATATGTGAAAAAAACTAATATCACAAATGCCGACCGAAAAGCATTAAGAAGAATAATCGTGAAAAATAGGCGTGCCAATTATTTACAATTGAGTGCTCTGTGGAGTGACGCTGTTGGAAGAAGAATTTCGAGGTCCAAAGCTCATAGAGAGGCCCACAAACTGGGATTTAGCACTTGCAAGGTAAGTTTTCTTATAAAAAAAGTGAAGTAAAATCCCTAAAGTTGCACAACTTGTTTATAGGCCAAAGAAAATCCACTATTAACTCCACTGCAAAAGAAAAATCGGCTTAGATGGGCTAAAGAACATAGACAATCGACACCTCAACAATGGTGTGCAATACAATGGAGTGATGAGGCCCGATTCGAAGTTTGTGTTGGTGACAGTCGCAGTAGAGTTATTCGCAAAAAAATGAAGCATTCCATGTTGATTGTCTGAAGAGAAAAGTGAAATTTCCAGCATCCATTATGGTCTGGGGCAGTATGTCATCAAAAGGAGTAGGAAAATTTCATTTTATTGATGGAAATGTGGATACAAACAAATATTTGGCAATTTTAGAAGAATCGCTTTTACCAGTGATGGATGAATGTTTGACATCAGGCCAAGATTTTGTGTTTCAGCAAGATGGTGCAGCGTGCCATACCTCAAAAAAGACTATAAAATGGATGGAAGAAAATAATGTACCACTTTTGAAATGGGTTTCTAGCGGTCCAGATCTGTCGCCTATTGAAACTTTGTGGCACGAGATGAAAAAGGTTCTACGACAACATCCTGCTCGTACAATCACCGAGCTGAGACAAAAGCTGCAAGAAATATGGCATTGTTTTACACCAAATTTTTTCCAAAACTTGGTTAATACTATGCCCCAAAGAATTTCAGCCGTAATAAAAAATAAAGGTGATGTTACCCAATGATAATCTTTCAATTGTTGCTTTGTTAACTTCGCGCATTTATTCGCACATTGTTTATTTGTTCAGATGTTCTATTAGTGATTTCAAATATGTATTTTTTACGATTAGAGTGTATCTAAAATGTTTTTGAGAAAATAAATTGTTTTAGAAGTAAACAGTTTCGTCATGTTTAGTTTATAAAGGCATATTTTGGTACAAATCTTGAAGTGGGCCAACTGAAGTGGGAAGGTGCTCGTAGTTGTAGTCACCGTTCTTGGCGGTTACGTCATCAACGCTATATGAAATAAGTGAACAGATTGAGTCTCCGTAGCATGGGCGGAACACTGCGCAGACTAAGTGGGTAACAGGGGACCGCTGTTTTCATTCTCTTCCTGGAAACACAATAAATTTAGCGCGAGCTGTCGGCCTTTTTGATTGATCGTATTTTATACAATTTTACAATTTTATATTAAAGATTGATAACAGCGACAACTCAAATTGCGAGCCGTTCTCACACAGGGGTATGTTGCATGTGTATGTACGAGGGAGATGGAGAGATATAAAGGGATACTGGTAGTCTTACTTTGACCCGCCAAGAACGGCGTCTACAACTACATCACCTAACCTGGAAGATTTAAAAATTTTAAATGAGGCTTAAAACTTGAAAATAGTCAAAAGAGTGAAAATATTTGCAAAACAAGAAAATCGAGCTTGGGCCGATTCAATTTTTTTTTTCTTCCCACGTCTACCGATGAGAAGTATAATAATCGCGAAAAATTTCAAAAATGAAATTTTATGTTTTTTGAATGTTATATGACATGTTCGAGTACATTACGAAAAAGATTTCCGTCGGTATGTCTGTCGCCTTGTCCGTTATTCTTTGAACCGCCTATAACTTAGAAAGTACTGCTCGGAATTGGATGAAATTCTTACACAAGTTACTACTCGATGAAATATTTGTGCTGTGATATGTGCATGGTCATCTTGCAAGTGAAGTGATACAGTGAAGCGGAGATGAATCTGTAAAATATGTCTGGTTCACTTGTGGGAGAGATTAAAGTTGAGATTTGTTAAAATGAATATGTAATAAACTGAGCGAATTGAAGTCAGGTGAGCTTATCTGATAATCAGTCTAAAACGAACTCAACTTAAAAAAGATTAAGTTATATTTATGAAAATGACAGATTTCAGCTTAGAAACAATTGACAAATAAGAATTATTTGCACATTTGCCAGGCATCAATAGACCTCACATGACACAGATAATAATAATAATCTTTATTGGTCCAATTACAAAGTTTTCGTATAAATAACAGCAATGTCCAATAAACATAACATACCCAAAAAGGTGTACAATTGTGCTTGGGTTTTAACCGAAGTTAAGTTATATTAATACAACAAATTTTCTTTAAGTATACTAGTCAAATGTATAAATTTGCATCATTTTATGATCAAATAACATATAGGTTTTTAGTGTTAACAAACTTATGGATTTGTAGCCTTGGTTGATTTAGGATACATGATTTTAATTCGATTTTTAAACGTTTTTTACATTTTATATGTTTAAGGTTTGTAGGAATAACATTATAAAATTGTGAGCATAGAAAATAGAATGATCTTTCGCTGATAGTTTTATTAAGTCTAGGAATAAGTGCAGAAGTTTCCTTGAATCGCGTTTCATGGTTGTGGCTGATAGAAAGTAACAATTTTGGATCTTTTGTTAAATATATGATTGTATGATAAAATAAATTTGCCGGCAGTCCAAAAGCTGAGATTCATTGTAAATATTTTCTGAGGGATAACATTTCTTTTAGTTCATCATAACTTTCAAAATCCACTTCTGCGTAATTTCAATCTTTTTATATAATTATTCATGACTCCCCCCACTGCATGATATATCATGTGTAGATATTTTTCACTTAAAAAACTGCTAAAATATTGGACATTCGGAATAAGGTCTTCTCTTCTTAATCTTAATTTTCTTACTAAATTTTCAATATGCTTATTCCATCTTAGATGCATATCTATGCTAGGTATTTGAAATTATCAACTGATTATATGTTTCTACAGCTATTCAACGTTTTAAGGCGACGCAGTGAGTTTCAAGCCATTTACAAGGGTTCAGCTGCTTCAAAACTGACACTCCATTTTTCAATATTTTTGCTATAGGAGCACTTTTTGAAATTTTGTTTTTGCACAAGTTTTATGATGGGTTGAAGTGCGCACTTTTTCTGTTCAACTTCGCGATTTTTTTACAAAGAACCTAGTGAAAAAAATTTTAAATAGTGGCTCTATAGCACCATGTGGGGTTTTGCTTTCAGCACTCTGTGGAAATTTCATCCAAAAATATCAAAAAATAAAGCGTCAATTTCGAAGCGCGCAAACCTCTACAAATTAAAATTTGGGGAAGATTGTTGTCACAAGAAAATGTAATAAAGTATATTTTGTTGAAATTGACTGTTAACATCTTTTCCGTGAAAAAATTTGTAACCTTTTGAAAACCTAATACAATTTTGTATTTTAAAGAAATCCAATCTTTGTCTGAGTAAATAATTTCCGTATCGTCTGCGAAAGCAATAATTTCTCCATCATTTTTTAGCTTAAAAAGGTCATTGATATATAAATTAAATAGCATTGGTCCTAATGCGGTTCCTTGAGGAACTCCGTATCTAACAATCATAGTTTAACTCAGTGTACTGTTGATGTTTACACATTGTGTCCTGTTTTTCAAATAACTTCTCATGAGTTGATAAGTGACTCCACGAAATCCTAAATTTTGCAAGGTTCTTAATAATTTTTGATGTGTAAAACTATCGAATGCTTTGGTTAGGTCTACAAGATTTGACCGTAGATTCAGTTACGCCCAGTATGCACTTCGGTCCCGACGAATGGCCATACGAGATTTTTTTGGAGAATATGTTGTTGATATTATGTGATATATTTTTGTTTCAGGAAAAGGCTGAAGGGCTACATTAGACATGAAATTGGAACAGTATTTTGTGATGTTAAGTAGCGTTTTTGTAGTAGGTATGTTCATGTTTATCCGTTCGTTTTAAAAATCAGGACATATAATAAAATTATGCTCAGACGGCGATTCTGCTAGTTTGGTTTAAAAAATTGTTTTTCAAGAGCGGATTGGTTCCCCTTTATGAATCATACCATATTTCTATCTATCCGCATCCAGAGTAAGTAAGTAGCCTTAGCCATTTCGCTCACCAGACCTAACGGTATATGATTATTTTTTGAGGGGTGTTCACAGAAATAATCTCCCTACGATTCGGGGACCGGAAAGAGCAATCAAGAAAGGCATTGCTGCAATTTCAGTTGACATGCTGCAACGGGCAATGCGCAACCTTATTTTTTATATCGAAGCAGCCGCGCATGCAGAAGCATAAATGCCGGAACACCGCGGCTGCTATGATGATCCCAAAGAAATTTTATTAATACGATTTTTGAACAGCTTAAGGTTAATAGAACTGGGAAGAGCTTCCTCTTGTAGATTGTTCCAGAATCTCGACACCCCCGGGACAAAGGAGCGGTCGTATCGGCCGGTTCTGGATGTACGAAGTTCGACACGGTTAGGATGGGACGCCAAATTCAGGCGGGTCTGTCTGGCAGGCACATGGCGCGGCGGCATCATGGAAGATAGCTCTGAGATGCAAAGCCCGTTGGTGTAACCGCAGAAAAGAGCTAGATGGCCGACAGCCCGCCGGTGCGAAAGAGTCTCGAGATTGTCTGTTAGAGAAGAGTCATCGATCAGTTGGACCGCCCTCCTCTGGACAGCACCGAGCATGGATAATGTAGTCGGGGCTGCAGCACCCCAAACATGTGAGCAATACTCGAGGCTAGGCCTTACCTGTGCCTTGTATAGAGTGAGAAGGTCATGCGGAGAAAAGTACTTCTTAGCCCTAAACAAACAGCCTAGCTTTTTCTCAGCGGCTGCAGCTATTGACGGGGTGTTCGTGCCAGATCAGGTCCTCGGTAATCTGGACTCCGATCAGCCGAAATGAATGGCTCTTTGGCAGAACTCGACCATCCATCGAAACCGGGTGAGCGCAGGGATGCTTTTTGTTCGTCAAAGTGCAGTACTGCGTTTTGGAAGCATTGAACTGTACAAGATGGTTGCGTCCCCAAGCAGTGATAGCCTCCAGGTCTCTTGTCGTCAGAGAGGAAGTCATCGCTAGTCTTCTTTTTTCCAACTCAGCGGCAGAGATCGGCTTGTCACTCTGAATTCCTGCATGTAGAGTGCTGTCATCAGCGAAGCTGTGGATTGGGTTGATCGTGCAGGAAAGGAGGTTGTTGATATGTAAGAGAAACAGTGTCGGAGCAAGACCGATCCCTGGGGAACACCCGCGTTGACGTTGGGGGATGAAGAGGAGAACCCGTCAGTTACGACGGATATCTTGCGGTCAGAGATAAAGTCAGCCACCCATCTGCAAAGCTTTTCTGGGAGGCCATAGGATGGAAGTTTGCTTAAGAGATCAGCGTGCCACAGCTCATGAGATATCTGGAAGAGAAGCGAAAAAACTGGAGCAAGCTCCGCGGCACAGCTCTTCAGTACAATGGCAGGAATCAAGTCCGGACCAGAAGCTTTGTTGATGTCGAGCGACAAGAGCACTCGTCTTACGGTCTTATGCCTGAATGTTACCTCCCGCATAGTGTAGGGAACCCTTTGAATTGACGGCACTTGGGCGTTGAGGGGGACGTCCATGGTGGAGTTGGCAGCAAAGATCTTGGCTAGCACTTCCGCCTTGGCCTTTGAGTTGAATACAATAGTTCCATCCTGACACGTAACTGGTGGAAAGCTACTGTGTGAGAAGTTCTTTTCAATCTGCTTGGCCAGCGTCCAGAAAGACCGACTGCCGTTGCGCTGCGACATTACCCTGTGCCTAACTTTTATACCGTACTGGTTTGTGGCATTGCGAACCGCTGCTTTATACTTGTTTCTGGACTCAACGTCGGCTTGTCTGTTCTCTACAGTGGGGTTTTGTAAGAAGGTTCTGTGTGCCTTAATCTTCTGCTGGTGAGCAGCGTCACACGATTTGTTAAACCAGCCGTTGGACCCTGGTTTAGGCACTTTCTCTGTGTGAGGGATGTATTCCTCCATTCCGACGTGGATAATTTCGGTTATCGAAGAACAGACAGCCGACGCATCCGCGTCAGTGAAACAGACATCTTTGCACCGAAAGCTAGAGAAAAACTTTGATGACTCCGATAATGCATATTCGGGAGACACCTAAAAGAAGTGATACGTAACTTGTAACTCTTCGAAAATAAATGTCCATTACCACTCTCAATTTTAACATTTATTTGCCTCTTAGCTTGAATATTAGCCATTTGAAGCTCAACGGCTGCAAACCCAACATCATGTACAACAGATTGTACAAAAGGTTCTGACACCCTGCATACAGGATGTTAGGGAAATAAGATTCGTAGCTTTAAGAGGTGATTCCTTGTATTATTCTAAACTAGAAAGTTCATTATATGCCCGAAAATCAACTGTTTCGGAGCAAAAAAATGCTGAAATTATTTCTTTTTAGTCATGAAATAAATTAATTTTGCACCTCAATAATTTAAATTCGTATGCCTAAGAGCATAAAATGTATCAATACATCTATATATTAATTAACTGCCTCTAACAAAATAATTTTCTTGCTTATTAAATGCAATTTTCCGAATAAAAACAGACAAACAAAATCCCTCACACATCTGGCAACGTCGTACTCTGCCTGCACTGCATGTATCATCGCGTGTTGTTGAGATTACTAATACATTTACCTGTAACTTTATGTGATTTACGGATGTTGGTGTTTTTCTTTTTTCATGCATCGCATCGTTTCAAATAAGTGACTGATAATCGTGGGAATTGGTGGTGTATCGCCACGTACCCGTAACTTCTGTCATTTTTTAAGTAAATGTACTGTACTGAAAGCCACAAAAAATTGCGTAAAAGTATTCAATAAGTCAAGGCATATTTTCAACAAAAATATCATACAAACGTGAACAATTAGATGAATCAGTATCGCGGTTGCGTTGCAGCGTTGCAGCGTTGCCAAATGTTTGAGAAAATTTAATTATTTACGACTTTCCTCGACAACGATTGATTTTCGGACATAAGTTATAATGCACTTTTTTGCTTAGAATAATGCAAGGAATCACCTCTTAAAGTTACAAATATTATTTAGTTTGTTTTCGTTTGATTCTAGGCCAGGCGATAAAGTGCTTCCAGTGCAACTCCGGCGAAGTCCCTGAATGCATGGACCTAAGCTCTAATGATACAGATAGTCCTTTCTACAAAGAATGTCAAGGAAACTACGAGGGAAATAAACCTTTCTGTAGGAAAATTTTCAGTACAAGTAAGTTGTAAGCACGATGCTATTATTTAAACGATATGAGAATTGGCTTAAGTATAGGCAGTGTTGCTTTTGAATTATGATATTGAAAAAATGGCGTCAAGTAGGTTGGCTGTCATCATTTCATAAAGGACCATTATTATAATAAAAAAATCTGAACTATGAGCATAGATAATACAAAATCAATTGGATCAAATGAGCTAATGAAGCCCATGCAATTGGTGCATGGTCCCACGGTGCGATATAGAAAATTCTTGCTTTTACTGAAAGTATCGACCTTCTGGCAACATCGGCTATTGTATGCTGATCAATTGCAGCAGTGTGGCGGTAAAACATTAGGCGGCAGTCGCAGAAAGGATTTTGTAGGCACTGGAGTTCGTAGCGTATGCGACATAGACGCTACACGTCTGTTTGGATATTTCTCCAAGTCTTAAGGGAAAATGTACAGGAAAATCTACGATGTATGATGTATGTAGTGATGGGTGCATAGGAAAAATCCTTCTGAAGCAGTATATCAACCAGTATTTCCATATACTTCGATTAACTTACAACCTTATACAAAATTATTCTTATTTTTAATGCTCATCACAAACACATTATAAAAATGTGGTTTCTATTTTAAAAGTTGTCTCTTTGAATTTTCTAAAATCCAATTTTTATTCGGATTCTGCTAAAGTAGATCCCCTACTATGGAACCCGAAACAACCCATATGGCAAACGAGAAAAAACTGTAATGACTCACTGGCCAGCATTTGTCATTTTATATGCGAAATTTGGGATATTTCAAAAACGTTAAGAGGTGAGATACGTTTATACGTCGCTCTACAATCCTTCCCAGAAACATCCGATATGAAGCCGGTTTTACGATCCGTCAATACAATTTTTTGACCAATGAATTCAGTGCGTACAATAAGTTCAGACATAAACTTAAACTCCTTGTTTTTGATTTCCACTGGAGCTGGAATTTTGGTACGCCACCTGGTTTCAGAGCTCATACTTCATCCCTGCATTACAATGTCACTACGTTATTTTTAATTTATCTGCTTTTTTCTTTCTAATTACCTATGATAATATCTTAATGATGATTGTTAAGTTAGGCCTTACCTTGCCATCTCTGATTTTCTTAAGCTTTCGAACTACGTTACTCAATCATGCATATTAAATATGAACATTCTGCAATGCTTTATCGTATATCTTTCAGCGCAATTGTATTTTTTGATGATTGTTATGACAATTCTGCGCTGTCTTCTTGTATGTACGAGGGTGGTCGCAGAAGTACCTGACTCAACGAAGAAAACACAAAAATTGTTTTTCAACATAATCTCCTTTGAGCTCTATACACTTTTCTCAGCGATGTTCAATAAGTTCGATACCCTCTTTGTAATAAGAACTGTCTTGCTCCTCAAAATAGCCATTAACTGCCGACATCACTTCTTCATCGTTGGAAAATCTTTGACCACTGAACCATATTTTCAAGTTTGGTTGGGCTGAGACCTTTGAAATAAAAATATTGTACCACATCACGATCACAATTTTCTCCATTATCACAAATTCACTGAAAACGTTCAGTATTGATGACTGCCAAACAAATACTAAACAACGTGGCGTCTTCAAACTTGACACATATGCTTTATAGGTTGCATACTTTCTAATACAATGATATTTTTCAAACAACTATCGCCATCTCTAGGTCAGGCCGGGTACTTCTGGGACCACCCTCGTATATATTTTTTGTGCAATTGTATTTTTTTCTGATGGTTGAGTAGAATCACTTGAAGCTGGACTCCGCCATCCTCATGGACATTTTGTTTATCTGAAGAATATTTTCTAATTTTTAATAAAGTCGGTTATTATTATTATACAGGATGTTCTCAAAGTTGAGTCATTTATTTTAACAGCTCTTAGAACCAAAAATCACATATCTATATAAAAGTTGCATAATAAATAATAAAATAACTATTATAAATTATTAAAAAGAAATCATTATCAAATTTAATGGATATCGTCGAGTCACAGTTTGGTGCGGTGTTTGATATGGAGGTGTCTTTTTTATGGGGATTTATTTTATAGGGTTTATGGGAACAAAACCGTAGAGCAGCTGAAGAACAATATTACGGAAGCGATTGAAAATATTCTTCTTCATATTTGCGTGGCTTCTAGACATTTGACTGATATTATTTTTCATAAATAATTTCTAAGTTTCAGTGAGAGATTAAGATGAAAAAAATGGACGTATTTTATTCCATTTCACAAATATTCTAGATACAAACTAGTCAGTTACATATCGGCCACCCTTTAGTATAAACCAAAATTTTCGTAACTATTATTCCTGAGCATAGATCGTTGCAGTTCTACGTGGGACACCCTTTACATCTTATCTAACCCCCGCCCCATTATAACTACATTTTCTGTATTTTTCTTACAGTTCTCTATGCAGAAACCGCGAAGGTCGTACGTACTTGCGGCTGGATCAAAGAAGTAAATGAAACGATAGATTTCTGCAAGAAAGCTGATACGGATTTCATCACCCAGATGAGCTGCTTGTGTTTTAGCGACGGATGTAATTCCTCGTATCATATAACTCCTTCAAGTCTACTCATCGTCACTGCTTTATTGATACGCTTTTATATATTTAAGTGATATTCACTTATTCACAGCCAAAGCTTTAACATGTACGCCAAAAATATTTCATCAGTAATTAGGTTTAAAAGAAAATGTATTGTTTGTGTCAAGGTAAAACCGAGTTGAAATCCTGCCAATAACATAACGTCCAGAAGCAGAGTACTGATACCAAGGGAAGACGGTGTGTCAAGGTGAATAAATAAGAGAGAGATAAGAGATGTAACCCAAAAGATGGCGTCCAGAGATAATGAGATGTTGCCAGGCAGATATTCATTTTTGAGGAATTCATTATTTATCGCGAACGCATTTTTCGTTAAAAATTACTTTTGCTTTAACATGTATTCATGGTGAAGACACTGGTTTGCAGTATATTTTTTCATTCAACAAAGTTTTGAATCACATTTTTCGCGGGTGCTCTCCGCGGTTATGTAAACAGGAGTTATTCTCAAGACCCAATTAACTCTTAGGTCATTACACGGAATATTACAAGACTTAGTTTAGTAAAAAGGAGGAACGTCAGCTTGAAATTCAAATTTTTTCTAACCTCCAATTGCTTGTTAGACCAATCGTGGATGAATTTAATATGGTTGCCAGTTATCTAGACAGCCTACTTATTTCGTATGACTTTCTGACGTTACCAGCAAAAAACCGAGAAAAGAATTAAACTCCATTCATCTCAGTATAAATGTAGCGTTTTGTGAACATGTTATGTCACTTTGGCAACACCGCTTGGGTACATGAGCGAATCGCGCGGAGGGTCTAGACATCTATGAGCGAATCGCCAGTTTTTTTGTACACCCGTAATAGTCCAAGAGCCGACCAGTTGGTTACATCGCGTACTGATATTATGTTAAAAACTAGTCAAATCTCACGTATTTTGATTTTAAACAGCAAACTCGGCAACTTTGCTGCTAAGAATCAAAATAAGTAAATTTTGACCAATTTTTGTTGTATCATATCGGTACGCGATGCTATAACCAAAAATTTGCAGTCGGCTCCCCTACTATAATGCAGAAGAGACCTAAAGTCAATTGAGCCCACCGTGGGAGTATAAGGTCATGCTACCATGTTCTCTTGGTATAACTCTTTTTCAGACGTATACAAATGAATATGTGATGATTCTTTTTGAGATGTATTGAGTGTTTATTGAGTACAGTAAAAATATTTTGAGTGAACCAGAAGAGCCTCTTAAAAAGAACGAATATAAGCGTTAATGTTTAGTACTTATTTAAACCTTGAAAGATGATATGGTTTTCATATTTTCCCCGATTTCTTTAATATACTTTTTATTTTATAGTTTTGTTAAGGTAATTACGAATGTCTCTCTGTGACGTATGCATTTTATTATGTTATATGGATGTGAATCTGTTAGAGGTACTGGAAGATGGTGATATATAATGTATTATAATACAGTGATGTACAGGTTGTGTTTAATTTTATTTGATCATCACAGAAATACGGTGTACCTCAAGGTTCCATATCGGGTCCTTTATTCTGTATATACATATGATATATATATATATATATATATATATATATATATATATATATATATACAGGGTGTCCCAGAAGTCGACGTCAAGCCGAAACCGGGTGATAGGCAAAGTCATAACAGCTATCAGAAAAATATTTAAAAAAATTTTATGTATGTGTTTTGAAAATTATAGGTCTTTGAAAAAAATATAGAAATTTCATACCCTACGGCAGTCTGTCAACTCCTGTTACTACAAATATTAACTTTTTTTGGATTTTATTTTTACAATGTAATGATGAATAATGCATCTTCAAACTGGTGTCTCAACCTTACCGCCAACTTTTCTCGTTCAGGAAACATTGCCACTTATTTCCCAACCAAGTATTCCAAAGTAAAACTTTGCTCAACTTTAACTGGCTGTACTGGAAAAAAATGTACTACGAGAAATTGGCAAGTAACCTTAAAAGTTGGCGCATTTAATAAGGATTCCAAAATGGTATAACACTTAGAATATTACTCGTTAACTTATGCACAATTTTTATTTGAAGAAAAATGATGAAAATTTTTCAAAATTTCCTAATTAAACAGCGATTATGAAAACGCACAAGGGCCCTTAAGGATAACTGTTTGCACAACAGTGGGCGTCAAAATGCTGCTGATGATGATTTACCTTTACAGCAAATGCTCAAACTGTCTTCCTTCAGCCGCAATACACGCTCGACATCTTCTTAAAAAAGATCGGGTTATTAAACGAGCGAATCCACGGTTATTAACAAACTCAGCTGCTTCCAATAGTCTTGCTTAGCTCAGCTACATTTTGAATCGGCTTGAAATACACTTTTTCTTTTACAGTTCCCCAGTAAAAAAAATCTAACGGATTCAAATCTGGTGACCGGGCTGGCCACGGTATTGTACCAGACCGCCCTATCCATCTGCCTGGAAAGTTTTGATCGAGATACTCTCTCACTGAGAGTGCATAGTGCGCTGGGCAGCCATCATGCTGAAACCACATGTCCCTGTAAATACTCAATGGCACGTCCTCCAATAAATTTTCTAAATGATTTTGCAAAAAACCTAAATGAACCTCAGCAGTCAAAGTCTCTGGGAACTCAAACGGACCGATTATTTTAGCATTTAAAATTCCTGTCCAATGGTTTATCTTGAAGCGATATTGAGATTTATCTTCTCTCATCAAATGTGGGTTTGCTACGTGCCACTCGTGTAAGTTATGCAGGTTCATGTACCCATCTTTCTTAAATGTGGTCTCATCTGACCATAAAATTTTTTCAATGAACTGTGGATATTTCCTGTGTCTTTCTAACATTGTGCGACAAAAAGCAACTCGGGGCTCGTAATCCCGGGGCAGAAGAGCTTGAACACGCTGTACGTGGTATGGATGGAGCACGTTTTTTTGCAAGATTCTATGGGCTGTACTTTTGGGCACACCTGTTTTTAGTTCTATTGCACGCACTGAAGTACTCGGGTCTTCTTCGACAGCTCCTAGCACCACGTCTTCGTAAGGAAGGAAAGATCTTCCCTCACCGTGTGATTGGTTTGGTAGTTGGCCCTCTGAGAACAGTAAGCGGTGCACATTTCTGAACACTCGATAATCTGGATGACGAGCTGCATTCGGGTACCTCTCACAGTAAAGTCTCGCTGCAGCACTAGCGTTGCATCTGCATTCCCCATAAATGAGGTGCATGTTAGCATATTCATGTACGGTGTACACGGACATAGCGGCACTGCACAATCACACTATCAAAGATAATCTAAGGAAAGCAAATGTTGTTTTGAAGAGCAATTAAACAGTCCAAATCCAAATCACAAGCGATCAACAGTCCAGTACACGAATCCAAAATTAGTAACAGTACGAAATCAACAAGCACGAACATGTAAAGATGCGCAGTAAACGAAGGAGTACTGATCGGTATCAAAGTGTGCAATAGCAAGTAAGTGATGTGCTTCATCCATACCACATGCAGCGTGTTCAACCTCTCCTGCCCCGGGATTATGAGCCCCGAGTTGCTTTTTGTCGCACAATGTTAGAAAGACACAGGAAAGATCCACAGTTCTTTGAAAAAATTTTATGGTCGGATGAGACCACATTTAAGAAAGATGGGTACATGAACCTGCATAACTTACACGAGTGGCACGTAGCAAACCCACATTTGATGAGAGAAGAAAAATCTCAATATCGCTTCAAGATAAACCATTGGACAGGAATTTTAAATGGTAAAATAGTCGGTCCGTTTGAGTTCCCAGAGACTTTGACTGCTGAAGTTATTTGGATTTTTTGAAAAATCATGTACAAAATTCATTGGTGGACGTGCCACTGAGTATTTACAGGGACATGTGGTTTCAGCATGATCGCTGCCCAGCGCACTATGCACTCTCAGTGAGAGAGTATCTCAATCAAAACTTTCCAGGCAGATGGATAAGGCGGTCTGGTACAATACCGTGGCCAGCCCGATCACCTGATTTGAATCCTTTAGATTTTTTACTGGGGAACTGTAAAAGAAAAAGTGTATTTCAAGCCGATTCAAAATGTAGCTGAGCTACGGCAAAGACTATCGGAAGCAGCTGAGTTTGTTAATAACCGTGGATTCGCTCGTTTAATAACCCGATCTTTTTTTAAGATGTCAAGCGTATATTGCGGCTGAAGGAAAACAGTTTGAGCATTTGCTGTAAAGGTAAATCATCATCAGCAGCATTTTGACGCCCACTGTTGTGTAAACAGTTATCCTTAGGGGTCCTTGTGCGTTTTCATAATCGCTGTTTAATTAGGAAATTTTGAAAAATTTTCATCAGTTTTTCTTCAAATAAAAATTGTGCATAAGTTAACGAGTAATCTTCTAAGTGTTATACCATTTTGGAATCCTTATTAAATGCGCCAACTTTTAAGGTTACTTGCCAAACTCTCGTAGTACATTTTTTTCCAGTACAGCCAGTTAAAATTGAGCAAAGTTTTACTTTGGAATACTTGGTTGGGAAATAAGTGGCAATTTTTCCTGAACGAGAAAAGTTGGCAGTAAGGTTGAGACACCAGTTTGAAGATGCATTATTCATCATTACATTGTAAAAATAAAATCCAAAAAAAGTTAATATTTGTAGTAACAGGAGTTGACAGACTGCCGTAGGGTGTGAAATTTCTATATTTTTTTCAAAGACCTATAATTTTCAAAACACATACATAAAATTTTTTTAAATATTTTTCTGATAGCTGTTATGACTTTGCCTATCACCCGGTTACGGCTTGACGTCGACTTCTGGGACACCCTGTATATCATTTTAATGGTCATAATATATATATATTAACAATTGATTGTGTGTATATATATATATATATACACAAAATACAATCAATTGTTAATTGGGAAATTGGCAAATTTTTAGGCTTAAGTTGACTCTTTTGACGATAAAATCAAGCTTTCGGCATTTTCTATGGAGCCTTCATCAGGATTCTGAAAACACAATTGTGATGCTAGCAAAGAATACGGGACCGATTTAAATTGTCAAACAACTTACTCGTCGTTGAGGTTGCAGCCACAAGGGGTTTCGAAACGAACGTAGAGAAGATAGAACCTGTTATAAATATAAAAACAAAGGATGAAGAAAATAATGAAGATGCTTGATTCACCCAACACTGTCTATCGCATTAATTGCAACAACTGTAATTTAGTTTATATAGGCCAAACTTCGAGATCAAAGGCAGAAAAACTTCACACTAAAGTGACGCCAGATTACATCCAGAGAGATATGCTTTGGCATCTCATATTAACAACACAGGTCACTCTATGAATTATGGCAGTATTGAGGTTCTTGACAAAGAAAAAAGACTCTCAAAACGTTTAGTTTTAGAAATGTCCCACATTTTCATGACAGATCATTGCATGAATAAAAAGGCTGATGTTAAGCAGCTTAGTGCCATTTATTCCTACCTGTTGAATTGTGAAAAGCTAGAACGGCTACATATCCAAATCGAACAAACATCGTTCCAAAATTAGAATACATTTCGAATTGCTATCCTGGTAATTGAAATTTCTCACTCACAATCTTTAATATAAACTCACATAACCCATCTTTTCAAGTGTGTATCACTATCTCACATTCGCACACTCATATGAACTACACATGTTTCCAAAACAAATTATTTCAGCATTGTAGTAATTTGGGTGGAGGTTTACCGAGCGTCCCTCGTATAATCCATACCCAAATTGGACAATGAGGTTTACAGTTCCACGTTCCGTCGCGTCACTCACTTGTCATCTGTCGACGCATTATCTTTCCGTTCCGCTCCCCTCTCCACGTGTAGCGGAAGTAGGAGGTTAGAGACTGCATTCCGATTGTTTCCCTAAAATGTCTTCTCATGTTTCATAATTTTTAATATGTTCGGGTGTATTGATATTTTTAACATGTAACGAAGGTATCTGTCGCTATCAACAAGCCCAATGTCTCCGTCCTTTTTATATTTATAACAAGTTCGAACTTCTCTACGTTCGTTTTGAAACACCTTGTGGCTGCAACCTCAACGACGAGTAAGTTGTTTGACAATTTAAATCGGTCCTGTATTCTTTGCTAGTATCACAATTGTGTTTTCAGAATCCTGATGAAGGCTCCATAGAGAATGCAGAAAGCTTGATTTTATCGTCAAAAGAGTCAACTTAAGCCTAAAAATTTGCCAATTTCCCAATTAACAATTAATTGTATTTTGTGCCCAACTGGTCGTTGGTTTTGGCAATGATTAATGCTCATATACAGGGTTATCCAAATTAAGTGTCCACCATTAGTAACTTTGTTATTAGTGAAAATACAAAGTTGTTTGAATTAGCAAACTAGTAGCATTTTTAACGCTGGTAAAAACGAGAAATAAAAAAAAACAATTGAGAGTCGTTATTTTGATTTTTTTCAGTAAAATAACATTTTTTTAAATGGAAACCCCTGTATATTATATTTTTTTCTGTTAAAGCATCAAATTTTAAACAAAAAAGCTTACAATAACTTTTCTCCTAG